CCTCTCCTCTCCTCTCCTCTGCTCTCCTATCGTCTCCTCTCCTCTCTCCTCTCCTCTCCTATCCGCTCCTCTCCTCTCCTCTCCTCTGCTCTCCTATCGTCTCCTCTCCTCTCTCCTCTCCTCTCCTATCCGCTCCTCTCCTCTCCTCTCCTCTGCTCTCCTATCGTCTCCTCTCCTCTCTCCTCTCCTCTCCTATCCGCTCCTCTCCTCTCCTCTCCTCTGCTCTCCTATCGTCTCCTCTCCTCTCTCCTCTCCTCTCCTATCCGCTCCTCTCCTCTCCTCTCCTCTGCTCTCCTATCGTCTCCTCTCCTCTCTCCTCTCCTCTCCTATCCGCTCCTCTCCTCTCCTCTCCTCTGCTCTCCTATCGTCTCCTCTCCTCTCTCCTCTCCTCTCCTATCCGCTCCTCTCCTCTCCTCTCCTCTGCTCTCCTATCGTCTCCTCTCCTCTCTCCTCTCCTCTCCTATCCGCTCCTCTCCTCTCCTCTCCTCTGCTCTCCTATCGTCTCCTCTCCTCTCTCCTCTCCTCTCCTATCCGCTCCTCTCCTCTCCTCTCCTCTGCTCTCCTATCGTCTCCTCTCCTCTCTCCTCTCCTCTCCTATCCGCTCCTCTCCTCTCCTCTCCTCTGCTCTCCTATCGTCTCCTCTCCTCTCTCCTCTCCTCTCCTATCCGCTCCTCTCCTCTCCTCTCCTCTGCTCTCCTATCGTCTCCTCTCCTCTCTCCTCTCCTCTCCTATCCGCTCCTCTCCTCTCCTCTCCTCTGCTCTCCTATCGTCTCCTCTCCTCTCTCCTCTCCTCTCCTATCCGCTCCTCTCCTCTCCTCTCCTCTGCTCTCCTATCGTCTCCTCTCCTCTCTCCTCTCCTCTCCTATCCGCTCCTCTCCTCTCCTCTCCTCTGCTCTCCTATCGTCTCCTCTCCTCTCTCCTCTCCTCTCCTATCCGCTCCTCTCCTCTCCTCTCCTCTGCTCTCCTATCGTCTCCTCTCCTCTCTCCTCTCCTCTCCTATCCGCTCCTCTCCTCTCCTCTCCTCTGCTCTCCTATCGTCTCCTCTCCTCTCTCCTCTCCTCTCCTATCCGCTCCTCTCCTCTCCTCTCCTCTGCTCTCCTATCGTCTCCTCTCCTCTCTCCTCTCCTCTCCTATCCGCTCCTCTCCTCTCCTCTCCTCTGCTCTCCTATCGTCTCCTCTCCTCTCTCCTCTCCTCTCCTATCCGCTCCTCTCCTCTCCTCTCCTCTGCTCTCCTATCGTCTCCTCTCCTCTCTCCTCTCCTCTCCTATCCGCTCCTCTCCTCTCCTCTCCTCTGCTCTCCTATCGTCTCCTCTCCTCTCTCCTCTCCTCTCCTATCCGCTCCTCTCCTCTCCTCTCCTCTGCTCTCCTATCGTCTCCTCTCCTCTCTCCTCTCCTCTCCTATCCGCTCCTCTCCTCTCCTCTCCTCTGCTCTCCTATCGTCTCCTCTCCTCTCTCCTCTCCTCTCCTATCCGCTCCTCTCCTCTCCTCTCCTCTGCTCTCCTATCGTCTCCTCTCCTCTCTCCTCTCCTCTCCTATCCGCTCCTCTCCTCTCCTCTCCTCTGCTCTCCTATCGTCTCCTCTCCTCTCTCCTCTCCTCTCCTATCCGCTCCTCTCCTCTCCTCTCCTCTGCTCTCCTATCGTCTCCTCTCCTCTCTCCTCTCCTCTCCTATCCGCTCCTCTCCTCTCCTCTCCTCTGCTCTCCTATCGTCTCCTCTCCTCTCTCCTCTCCTCTCCTATCCGCTCCTCTCCTCTCCTCTCCTCTGCTCTCCTATCGTCTCCTCTCCTCTCTCCTCTCCTCTCCTATCCGCTCCTCTCCTCTCCTCTCCTCTGCTCTCCTATCGTCTCCTCTCCTCTCTCCTCTCCTCTCCTATCCGCTCCTCTCCTCTCCTCTCCTCTGCTCTCCTATCGTCTCCTCTCCTCTCTCCTCTCCTCTCCTATCCGCTCCTCTCCTCTCCTCTCCTCTGCTCTCCTATCGTCTCCTCTCCTCTCTCCTCTCCTCTCCTATCCGCTCCTCTCCTCTCCTCTCCTCTGCTCTCCTATCGTCTCCTCTCCTCTCTCCTCTCCTCTCCTATCCGCTCCTCTCCTCTCCTCTCCTCTGCTCTCCTATCGTCTCCTCTCCTCTCTCCTCTCCTCTCCTATCCGCTCCTCTCCTCTCCTCTCCTCTGCTCTCCTATCGTCTCCTCTCCTCTCTCCTCTCCTCTCCTATCCGCTCCTCTCCTCTCCTCTCCTCTGCTCTCCTATCGTCTCCTCTCCTCTCTCCTCTCCTCTCCTATCCGCTCCTCTCCTCTCCTCTCCTCTGCTCTCCTATCGTCTCCTCTCCTCTCTCCTCTCCTCTCCTATCCGCTCCTCTCCTCTCCTCTCCTCTGCTCTCCTATCGTCTCCTCTCCTCTCTCCTCTCCTCTCCTATCCGCTCCTCTCCTCTCCTCTCCTCTGCTCTCCTATCGTCTCCTCTCCTCTCTCCTCTCCTCTCCTATCCGCTCCTCTCCTCTCCTCTCCTCTGCTCTCCTATCGTCTCCTCTCCTCTCTCCTCTCCTCTCCTATCCGCTCCTCTCCTCTCCTCTCCTCTGCTCTCCTATCGTCTCCTCTCCTCTCTCCTCTCCTCTCCTATCCGCTCCTCTCCTCTCCTCTCCTCTGCTCTCCTATCGTCTCCTCTCCTCTCTCCTCTCCTCTCCTATCCGCTCCTCTCCTCTCCTCTCCTCTGCTCTCCTATCGTCTCCTCTCCTCTCTCCTCTCCTCTCCTATCCGCTCCTCTCCTCTCCTCTCCTCTGCTCTCCTATCGTCTCCTCTCCTCTCTCCTCTCCTCTCCTATCCGCTCCTCTCCTCTCCTCTCCTCTGCTCTCCTATCGTCTCCTCTCCTCTCTCCTCTCCTCTCCTATCCGCTCCTCTCCTCTCCTCTCCTCTGCTCTCCTATCGTCTCCTCTCCTCTCTCCTCTCCTCTCCTATCCGCTCCTCTCCTCTCCTCTCCTCTGCTCTCCTATCGTCTCCTCTCCTCTCTCCTCTCCTCTCCTATCCGCTCCTCTCCTCTCCTCTCCTCTGCTCTCCTATCGTCTCCTCTCCTCTCTCCTCTCCTCTCCTATCCGCTCCTCTCCTCTCCTCTCCTCTGCTCTCCTATCGTCTCCTCTCCTCTCTCCTCTCCTCTCCTATCCGCTCCTCTCCTCTCCTCTCCTCTGCTCTCCTATCGTCTCCTCTCCTCTCTCCTCTCCTCTCCTATCCGCTCCTCTCCTCTCCTCTCCTCTGCTCTCCTATCGTCTCCTCTCCTCTCTCCTCTCCTCTCCTATCCGCTCCTCTCCTCTCCTCTCCTCTGCTCTCCTATCGTCTCCTCTCCTCTCTCCTCTCCTCTCCTATCCGCTCCTCTCCTCTCCTCTCCTCTGCTCTCCTATCGTCTCCTCTCCTATCGTCTCCTCTCCTCTCACACATTAATCTCTCCAGCACAGACTTCTCTTCCTCTGTTTAAACACACAAGACTGGAGAGACTGACAGCAGATCAGATCTGTCATAATATGAAAACCAGGGTCAAAAATTAACTAGGGCTTGAGGTCACCGCAACTGAAAGCAACAAAAATTATTTCGATTTTTATTAATTAAAGATGTTTAATTTATTATAATTTAAATATATTATTTTATATACATACTATGAATACAAAAATGTTTGTATCACAATTTATTTTTAAATAAACTGTTTTGACCACGTTCATATTCGCGCGATTTTTTTGTGCAGCTCATCAGTGAACACCGGCTCTGTGTGGTTAATGCTGCTCAATGTGAAAGCCCGCAGGTGATGGAGATTTACCGCTGATTACAGAACCGGCTTTACTGATAAGATGCGCGTTAAATATCGCATGCGATTAATCGTGCAGCCCTAGTGTATGTATATATATAATAAACAAAAACGTAAAATATAATGAATAATTGTTTACATGTATAAAAATAAAAACAGAAAGAAATCAGAAAAAAAGAAAAACAGACATCAGTGGCTGTATACAGTATAGAACTGTATCATCTAACAAAAGTATTTCATTTTATTCTATTCTAGTAGAGTGTTTGTGTTGGGATATCTTGTGCATTATTACATTTGCATATGTAAATTGTACTTAAATTTGCAGGACGTACTTAATTGATTAATTTTAATTTGTCATAAATGGACAAAACGTGAGTCTTTTCGATGATTTGAAAAACATATGCTATTGTAAAAATGTCCCTGAAACCAAGTCCAGGCGGAAATATTGCCCTTTAACGTCTTCTGACTCTGGTTGGGACTATAGAGACTATAGAGGTTAAAGAATCATGTGCTTTGATGTGGATATATCATATCAATATCTCTATGAACTGCTGTAGACTCTGTGGTTCTCTTGAGGTTAGTCAGATGCTGGGGAGAAGAATCAGTCTAAATGAACGCTCTGCATGCAAAATCAAACACCCTACATGAAGGAATGTGGGTTCAAACCACACAACACTCAAAGTTTCCAAACAATGCCATACCAGAACCAGTTTTGGTTCCCCAAAGAACCTGCAGCGAACAGTTAAAAGAACCATTTTTCTTGATGCATCAAACATTTTAATGAAGATTTTCCACTATGAAGAGCCTCTTGTAGAATATGATGTTAAAACTTCTTTAGATGCCAATAAAAACCTTTCTTTTTAAGAGTGAAGCATTGATTCATGTACTTTCATTGTGTAACCTTGAGCAAGACAGCTCACCTCATGTTCCTGAAGGGGAGCGAACTTGCAATGTTGGCATAAATCATCAGCTGAACGACTAGTTTCACTTTTTTTGGTCAGATATCGGATGCACTGAATGGCATGTCGTGGCGCAGCGGTGTTTCGGGGGGCAGGGCGAAATCCAAGAGGAAAAGGCGGAACTCGGTTTGGATCAAAGCCAGAGAACTCCAGGAAACTTCCGCGGATACATTAACATCAAACAACGATACTTTACATCCACCCTGAGAGTTTTACATGTGCATTCGCGCTTAGAGATGAGAGTAAAAACCCCGAGCTCTTACCCGGACCAGGTTGCTGACAGCTGCCTGCACAGCGGCCACAGGAGCGGTGAGATCCGGGATGGCTTTCCCGTCCACCTCTCCCTCCTCATGCATGATGACCAGATGAGAGATCTGCTGGGCCACCGGCTCCAGGATACTCTCTATCGTCTTCGTGTGAAAAACCGGCATGATGAGCACTTAAGAGAACGCAAACTCTCTTTCCAAGTGTGTATCCAGACTCCCCTCTCCGTATCCGAGCGCCGAGACTATCCGCCTCAAGAACACACTGACTCTCCTTCACGCAACTAAACTAACTATCGTGGGAAGCGACTCGTCTAGCGAAAGAATCGTTCATTGGAGTCGGTTCTTTCCAGTACGCAAAATGATTCTTTAGCTCATCGCGATTCACGAGTCAACAACTTACTGAATTTGCCAACATGTTTGACATTTATTCACTAAAACTAAAATATTGTGTGTGTGTGTTGTGTGTGTGTGTGTGTGTGTGTGTGTGTGTGTGAGTGTGAGTGTGTGTGTGTGTGTGTGGAGCACAAAAGCAGTCTTAAGTCGCTGGGGTATATTTGTAGCAATAGCCAACAATACATTGTATGGGTCAAAATGATCGTTTGTCCTTTTATGCCAAAAATCGTTTGGGTATTAAGTAAAGATCATGTTCCATTAAGATATTTTGTAAATTTCCTACTGTAAAAATAATTAAACTTAATTTTTAACTTTAAAATTAAAGTTTACATTTTAAGTTTTAAAATTAAGTTTGAATTAAAATTAAGTTTTCATTTTAAACTTAAAATGAAAGCTTATTTATTCAGGTCTCAGATGATGTATACATTTCAATTTCAAAAAATTGACCCTTATGACTGGTTTTGTGCTCCATGGTCACATATAACAAAACGTAAATAGTAGCCTATTTAATTGTCTAGAATTTGATTCATTACATAGGCCACTAAATGCTTTGCTATTAATCGCTTGGCAGCTATTGTATTGTAAAATTTTTGTCAATGAACTCTATGTTTATCTACATACACATTTATTTAAAACCTGTTCAAACCTCTACGTGATGACGAATTCTTTCTTTGAACTGACTCGTTGAAATGAACCGTTCGAAAGAATCGATTCGCGGCTTCCCACATTACACTCAACCTAAACCTCCCCGATGACGCAATATCTCCGTCCACCAACCAGAAAGCAAGCGCCGGCGCGCCCGTGAATGCCATTGGTTCGCGCAAACGTCATTCTTCCTGATTGGCTCCGCCCATAACCTTTGTAGCGTTATTCCCAAATTACGTAAAACATTCTCATGCCCTAAAAAGGAAGCTTGATTCTACTGTACTGGATGAGGAATTCTGAGTGCCAGGGGCCACCAAAGCGGGCTTCTAGGTCTGAATATTGCTCAGCACTGTTTAGGATCTGTTTGAGGCCTTGTGAGGATCTATTTTCATCTTTATTTTTTTCATCATTATACATACAATAATGAAACAATACAACATAATTAATTTACAATGTGTATGGTTTCATAAGCCAAAAAATAATACATAGGCCTATTTATTCACTGATGAATCTGATAAAAACTGATAGAAATATTCGTTATATTTTTGTTTGTCATGGCATTAACATTTGTACTGGGACAGCTACTGCTTTAAAGTTTTAACATGAATTAAACACATTAATGCATATGACAAGTTATAGGTGGATGAAAACAAATGTATCTTTATTTAATTGTTGTTCGTTTTGTTCATGTTGCACATTCCAGATTCATAATCATAAGAGCAGGTTGCAGCCTTCATCTGATCACCGAAATAACAATAACAGGATCTCAAGCTGTTTCAACTCATCAGATGCCTCAGACAGCCGAAGAATTTGCCAAGAGACCCTCAACAGGCTGCATGACCGAATATGGAAGAGTCCGAAATGAAAGAATTGAGGAAATCAATTTAGAGAGCACAGAGTAAACACGTGTGTGTGTGTGTGTGTGTGTGTGTGTGAGAGAGAGTGTGTGTGTGTGTGTGTGTGTGTGTGAGAGCGTGTGTGTGTGTGTGTGTGTGTGTGAGAGAGAGAGAGTGTGTGTGTGTGTGTGTGTGTGTGTGAGAGCGTGTGTGTGTGTGTGTGTGTGTGTGAGAGAGAGAGAGTGTGTGTGTGTGTGTGTGTGTGTGTGAGAGCGTGTGTGTGTGTGTGTGTGTGTGTGAGAGAGAGAGAGTGTGTGTGTGTGTGTGTGTGTGTGTGAGAGCGTGTGTGTGTGTGTGTGTGTGTGTGAGAGAGAGAGAGTGTGTGTGTGTGTGTGTGTGTGTGTGAGAGCGTGTGTGTGTGTGTGTGTGTGTGTGAGAGAGAGAGAGTGTGTGTGTGTGTGTGTGTGTGTGTGAGAGCGTGTGTGTGTGTGTGTGTGTGTGTGAGAGAGAGAGAGTGTGTGTGTGTGTGTGTGTGTGTGTGAGAGCGTGTGTGTGTGTGTGTGTGTGTGTGAGAGAGAGAGAGTGTGTGTGTGTGTGTGTGTGTGTGTGAGAGCGTGTGTGTGTGTGTGTGTGTGTGTGAGAGAGAGAGAGTGTGTGTGTGTGTGTGTGTGTGTGTGAGAGCGTGTGTGTGTGTGTGTGTGTGTGTGAGAGAGAGAGAGTGTGTGTGTGTGTGTGTGTGTGTGTGAGAGCGTGTGTGTGTGTGTGTGTGTGTGTGAGAGAGAGAGAGTGTGTGTGTGTGTGTGTGTGTGTGTGAGAGCGTGTGTGTGTGTGTGTGTGTGTGTGAGAGAGAGAGAGTGTGTGTGTGTGTGTGTGTGTGTGTGAGAGCGTGTGTGTGTGTGTGTGTGTGTGTGAGAGAGAGAGAGTGTGTGTGTGTGTGTGTGTGTGTGTGAGAGCGTGTGTGTGTGTGTGTGTGTGTGTGAGAGAGAGAGAGTGTGTGTGTGTGTGTGTGTGTGTGTGAGAGCGTGTGTGTGTGTGTGTGTGTGTGTGAGAGAGAGAGAGTGTGTGTGTGTGTGTGTGTGTGTGTGAGAGCGTGTGTGTGTGTGTGTGTGTGTGTGAGAGAGAGAGAGTGTGTGTGTGTGTGTGTGTGTGTGTGAGAGCGTGTGTGTGTGTGTGTGTGTGTGTGAGAGAGAGAGAGTGTGTGTGTGTGTGTGTGTGTGTGTGAGAGCGTGTGTGTGTGTGTGTGTGTGTGTGAGAGAGAGAGAGTGTGTGTGTGTGTGTGTGTGTGTGTGAGAGCGTGTGTGTGTGTGTGTGTGTGTGTGAGAGAGAGAGAGTGTGTGTGTGTGTGTGTGTGTGTGTGAGAGCGTGTGTGTGTGTGTGTGTGTGTGTGAGAGAGAGAGAGTGTGTGTGTGTGTGTGTGTGTGTGTGAGAGCGTGTGTGTGTGTGTGTGTGTGTGTGAGAGAGAGAGAGTGTGTGTGTGTGTGTGTGTGTGTGTGAGAGCGTGTGTGTGTGTGTGTGTGTGTGTGAGAGAGAGAGAGTGTGTGTGTGTGTGTGTGTGTGTGTGAGAGCGTGTGTGTGTGTGTGTGTGTGTGTGAGAGAGAGAGAGTGTGTGTGTGTGTGTGTGTGTGTGTGAGAGCGTGTGTGTGTGTGTGTGTGTGTGTGAGAGAGAGAGAGTGTGTGTGTGTGTGTGTGTGTGTGTGAGAGCGTGTGTGTGTGTGTGTGTGTGTGTGAGAGAGAGAGAGTGTGTGTGTGTGTGTGTGTGTGTGTGAGAGCGTGTGTGTGTGTGTGTGTGTGTGTGAGAGAGAGAGAGTGTGTGTGTGTGTGTGTGTGTGTGAGTGTGTGTGTGTGTGTGTGTGTGAGAGTGAGTGTGTGTGTGTGTGTGTGTGTGTTTATGCTGCTCACCTCAATATAAAACAGCAGATTCTGCTTTGATCTCACCTATAAAGTGACACTCATGAATGCAATGTTGTCAGATTGTTTCAGCAATATTACATAATATATTTGAACCAGTTTATTTATATTTTATTACTATGAAGCACTGTTTGGTTTAGATTATATGACTAATTTATTTTTACAGTACAGAAGCCCCTTGTGAAATTGGTCTTTCATTAAATCAAGTAAGTAATGCACCCCAAGTATTAAAAGAATAAATCCCATATGGAATTGGGTGAACTATTGCTTTAAAAACATTTTGTTTTCAAAATATTTTATTAGACCTGAAGTAATTGATGTGGCATGTTGACTATTTTTTTGCAGCAACCCAAGCAGTCAAATTCCTTGTAAGTGTAACTTTGCCAATAAAAACTTGGGTTGTCATATAATGGATGATTCTATGCAACAGATCTCTATTTTTAGAGTTTATATCACACATTCTGTTATTTCCGTATTTTATACTAAATATTTTTAGCATTGGTCAGTAATGTCACGTGTCGTTAATGTATCATCTTTTCCAATATTGTTCATATACCACAATCCAGCAGTAACAGTTACCTTGAGCACACAAACTAGTGTTCATACTAATGTCATCTGCAGGATGAAGTATGAAGAGTGTGCGAGATGAAGAGTTGATGTTAGTATCGCACGAGTATGTACTTCAGTGTCTTTACATAGTCTGCCATCTAGTGGCTGAATAAGAAACTAGCTGCTAAAGATGCGTTCTCAGAAAAACAGCTAGGAGATACAAAAGCTAAAATATACATCTTTGTTCCTTATTTACACCTAAATGGTACATGTTAGTACCTTAAAGATACATATTAGTGTCTTTTGAAAGGGTCCCCCGACCCAGTGACAGGTTTTTACCTTGAGAGCGTAAAATGAAATATTCTAGAATTATTACAGATATATACTGTAGAGTGGGGAAATATTTATTTGATCCCCTGCTGATTTTGTAAGTTTGCCCACTTACAAATTT